TCTTTTGCAGCTAAACAGAATAGACTATTGACTCGGAGTCGGGTCGAGTCAGTAAATCGAATACGCTATAACTGAAGCGTTTAGTTTGAATATACAAAGCGCGGGAAAGCATAATAATAAACGAACGAAAGTATATCTGTAAAACTGATTTTTAAATTTACATATTATTATATATCGTGGCATCGTGCTACATATATTACTACAAATCATGCTGTATGGTATATTGTGTATATTACATTATTAAAAATAAAAATTGTATAAACTATGCCGATTATAAGGTTACATGAAGGAGATACTGGAATGATTCATAATCTAGAAGTTTCCGAAGAGGATGCTATTATCTTCATCATAAATATAAGTAAGCTATTCTGAAAAAACTTCACAGCGCACGTTAATCACAGCGCATGTTAGCATGACTTTCATTTTATCCATAATTGCAAAATACGTACTAACGCTTCAAAACGCTTCAAAAATTGGTCCATTTGCATACTGTTGGCAGCATTAGGGTGCCGTCACATGCGGCGTAACTTGCGTAAGCGTAACTTGCGCCGACCAATCATATCATTTCACTCGAACATCAGTTTCTGTCTAGTCACTTTATGCTTATTACGCTATTTTGTTATTATGCTAAAACATGATAGAACCACTATGCGTCGAATCTAATTTCTGGCTCATTTTAGCTTATTCTGTCTGAAAAAATGCACAAGGGTTTCGATTTTGCAACAGTACAATTATAAAAGTCATACGCCCCTTTGCATCGTGTGAAATGTCGAAACCCATGTGGAACAGTACAATTATAGACCTCATTTTGCCTCTGTGACAGATTTTCTAACCTCAATAGTCATCAACTTTAACGCTTAATATCTCAGATCACACGGCAGAACGACTTTTTTTTTGCCAGATTCTTTTGTTTCATGCAAAAACGCGTCGAATAAGCCTAAGGGTGATGTCCCATGCAGCGGATTCGCGTATCGCCAATCACAGAATCATTCTCTTAGATACACTTGCGAAATTTGCAAACAGATCTAAGAGAATGATTCTGTGATTGGCGGTACGCGAATTCGCTTACGCACGATCCGCTGCATGGGACATCACCCTAAGGCTGGAGTCCCATGAGGTGTATTTACCGCGTATCGCGTAACCGCGTAACCAATCAATAATCAGTAAAACGCGAAATCACAATAGCGGATCGCTTCTGATTGGTTACGCGATACACGTTACGCGGAAAATCTGTGCCATGGGACGGCACCCTAAGAGTGGTTTCACAAAATGTTCCGATTTTAATAATTTATTCGATCATTCGCTTATATATACGCGATGGAAAGGTACCGGTTCTCCATGAGGGGTACTTTTCGAGATGCGTAGGTTACGAAAACCAATCGTAAATTCATTTAGCATTTCTGTTAGAATGTACAACAGAAATAATCAGTAATTGGTTGCATTAATTCCGCATTTCTCCAATCTTCCGCGAAATACGCTCAATGTGAATGCGGGCTTTCAGAATGGCGTATTCTAGTAAATAAAAAATAACGTATTCTAGTAAATTACTAAAATACGCAGGTTACGCTTACGAGGTTACGCCGCATGTGACGGCGCCCTTAGTAGTGCTAATGGACCGTTTCTATAGAAGCATATGAAAGTGAAAACGGTTGAAGCGTTTGTAGCGCCAAGTGGACCGCACCCTATATTTACACGGCACCCTTAATCGAGTTGAATAACATCCGTAGTTATGAAACTGGCCAATCACAATCATTCCATTCTCCCGACGAAAAGCTATGATTGGCCAATTTCATAACTACGAATGTTATTAAACCCGATTAAGCGTGCCGTGTAGCAGAGGTCTATTCCTACTTATTCCAACATGGTTGTTGAAGTGAATAGGAGCTATGAGGCCTGTTCTTTTTGGCTGAACTTTTGCACCAGTTCATCTTTCTTCCTCTTCTTTCCTCCTGGAGAAAAAAGGAAGAAAGATGAACTGGTGCAAAAGTTCAGTCAAAAAGAACAGGCCTATGGTAGGAGCATATTGGAGCACGTGACGCGAACAAACCCATAGAGAATAGACTGCGCGAACTGTATCTAATGGCGAATTCGATTGGAAGCACTAGTGCGCACTGGTGCATATTAAAGCCGTTGTAACACTGACTTAATTTGAGTATAAAAATGATATGCAAATATTTCGAATTATGAAATACATATTTTACCTAAGAGTACAATAAAATGTATTGTGTATTTTATGATTTAATCGATTTCTATGTTTATTTATAAACATATTTTCACGTTATTTTGTGTACAACAGTTTTAATGTGCACCAGTGCGCACTGAGTGCGTCCAATCGAATTCGCTATAAGCAGTGTAACAAATGTGTCGACAATAATGAGACAGAGGTCCGTGGGAGACGGCCAATCCCCCTTTCATTCTCTCTCCCATTACACCATTGAATGGAAAGAGATAGAAATGGCTGTCTGCCACGGTCCCTCTCTCTCATCCCTATTGACCATCTTAGGTTTGTTCGCGTCGAATGCTCCAACATACTCCTACTTCCTCCAACTGTAGCTCCTACTCACTCAATGCGCTCGTTAGAGTGAGTAGGAGCTATGGTAGGAACATGTGAAGCATGTTGGAGTATGCGACGCGAACAAACCTTTTGACACACAGATCGCGCAGTCCATTCTCTATGGCTGCTTTCCTTTTAGGAGACACAGTCGACACACTTGACACAAATCGACACACGTCGCTTTCCATTTACAATTTTGTTCAAACTCAAT